TTCTAGTCATTCCAAGCGCTGACACCTTTGCTGACATTGGAGAACCGGCCGTGAGTGACATGGGAGGCCTTCAGTCTACTGGTGACGCGGAACTTGACCGCTGGAAGGCGCCTCTTGACGCCATGTTTCCAGCAAAACAATCAGAAGATCGGATGCAGAACGACTCGTTTTTGAAGCGTCTGTATGATACCGGCGAAAACGGGTTCGGAGAGCCAACCGTAGACGCCGTGCGCAAGCAGAAGGAGGACGAACTGGAGCAGTACAGGAAGAGCGCATTTAAGCGGGAAAAGAGCACCAAAGACGATAGAAGCAAATCGAAGGAAAAGAAGGAGAAGGAATGACACCTCCACATCGAGTGGGGCCGTGCGCATGTGTTTGTATATATGTGTATATATTTTTTGGGCGAGAAAAAAAAGGGGGCGGGGTGAAAGAAGCACGCATGGAAGAATCTTCGTGCGATTCTTTTTGAAGAGTCAAACAAAATCAAATGAAAAGGAGAAAGAAAAGGAGAAAAATATCTGAAAAAGAGGTGGCGGACCTTGTCCCTTTTTTTTTTTTCCGCTCAGGTTGAACCGCGTACTTTACCGTAATAAACGCCGCTGCTTGGATTGGCCTCCTCGCCTCCCGCAAACATTAGTAGGCAGAAACCAAAGACAATAACACACGCACGGAGTGAAAGAAGGGGAAAGAAGGCTTTCCTGTCGCGCTTTCTTAGCTTGTTGGCTCCGTGAGCGTTTCTTTTTTTTTTTTTTTTTTTGGAAGCCAATAAATTAATTTGTGGTGGGTGTGCTTGGGATGAGTAGCTGCTGTGTTCGGCGACGGGCGTGCAATGACACAAGCGAAGAATGAGGATACAGATGAGTCTGCCATGGCGATTGCTCCAGGGCGGAGGATGCGTGTGTACTCCCCAGCGGGTTCGCTGGTGGCGCTTGCGCGGGCGCTGCAGGAGTGCGCTGAGCGAATTCATCTTGGACCTCACGGTTTACTCGCGGCCTCGGTAAGCGTCGATGGTGAGCTGCGACTTCTGCGCCCAAGGGCCAATGATGTGATGCGGAATACGGCGGGGCTGGAGGCATGGCAGGTGCTTTGGCGTGTGTTTCTAACAGATAACTCAACCCCCAGGACGAGGGCAGGGAGTCATGTAAACAGAGGGACGTATCAACGACTCTCAGATGGTCAGGGACGGTTACTCCTCACGTGTGCATCGTTACTGCGTCAAATTCTTTCTCCCAATGCACATTACCCGGTCGCTGGCTCTCCGTCTTCGCTACGGAATAGGCTGCGGCTAGTGCGAGTACTGCGTGAGATGACAACTTCTGGGGAGATGCGATATGTTTCCCCTGTGGGAGATGACGAAGACGGCGATGACGCGGAGCAACAAAGAGGGGATGATGTGATTGGTCGAATGGTGCGTGCATCTCTTCGGGATTTGCAGCCTTATGTCTACGGTGTTGCTGGTTCCAAGGTGACACGACGGGTGGTGGAGGGTTGTATCCATTTCATCATGTGCACACACGTTGAGGATGATGTGCTGACGAAACTTCGGCAACTGCTTGTGCGTTTTCTGTGGAGTTCGTCTTTTCCAAACGGAGAGGGGGACCTGCATTCCATTGTGGCTCGAGCACGGGACGTCTTGATTGACTCAACATCATACATTGTGCCTTGCCAGGGTGAATCGGTACTTCATTCTCGCGTTCTACCATTTGGCACCTTTTTGCTGCCCACCGTGTCTCCCGAGATCTCCCCGCACCAAGGCACAGTCACACCATTTTTCACTTTGGAGCGCCATGGTGATGGACAAGCCGAGCGGGTTATGTTCCTGCGCATCGACGATCAAGGTGGTTTGCTGCAGTTTGAGCACTCCAACAGGAAGGAAAAAATTGATACTGACAGTGATATGGACGCGGGGGATTGTAGCAATGATGGGAGAAGGGTTGTCGAGCGACAGTGGACGACGACGGAGCAGGAAAAGGCGCAGTGGGAAGCTGCACGGATGCTTTATGAATGGGCTTGGATGCACGGTGTGACTGCCGTACTCACTCCTTCTCACGTACCTCCTGTTATGAAGACGTATGGACTTCGCTACAACGTTACTGGCAACAGGGATAAAGAGCGGGAATGCAGACGCCCCATTTTTATGGTAGATGAAGTGGATGAAGTTGGTTTTGATGCGTTGCTGCGTCGGTTACAGTACTGGAGACATGAGAAATTAACGGAAAAACGTGGTGCTCAGGAGGATCCCGTTTGGTGCCCCACAGCGGCTGTTTTGCGCCGTGATGTGTTGGAATTGCCGGGCCGAGCGGAGGATGTTCTTCTCCCTTTTTCCCGTCTGGCGCATGGGCCGTTACTTGAAGTTTGCTCATCTGCCAACGTAAAGGAATTTATGGTGAATGAATGCAGTAACGTGCGAGTGGTGCTGCTGGAGTTGGATCAAGGCACACTTTTGGAAGAAGGTGCGCGTGGTCTTCGGAGGCTTCAGGGTGTGGGCTCAATGCTGCTCGTGGCCCCAACTGCTTATCAGCTTCGCATGTACACAGATTTACTGCTAAAGTGTTTGGCGAGCGTACGGGCAGCTATGGACGCATCACCGTCGAGTGGCGATGCGAGTCCCGAGTGTGGTCTTGGTTTTGTGCGGGCGGGAGGAGCCTTGCCGATCGCTCTCTCACGTCAACTGCGCCTCAGTGCAGAGACGTTGAAGTGCCAAATGCAGAGGCTCGAGGGCACTAGTCATGTTGATGATGCGCATGCAACGGCCAACTTGCCTGTGGTGGCGGCGGTGTTGCAGATGTTGTCTGAGGTGCTGCTGGAAGTGCCGCGGCGTCTGGCAGAACTTATCACTGCCCATCATCAGCCACTGCGACACGCGTGGCTGCAGCTTGAGAGCGATGCGATTAGTCGGGCGAAATCTCACTCTGCAAACTCTCTTACTTCCTTACGGGAACCACCGCTCCATGTCTGCATACGCGAGGACGTTTCCTTCTATCGTCGCACCCGTACGCCTCCACCGTGCGAAGTGGGCCACGGTGACGGAGAGCGAAGTTACTTCTGTTGCAGCGATACGGAAAGTAGTGACAGCGAGTCTGATGAGGATGAGGATGCATACCGACAGGAACGGTTGCGTGGGCCACCCTCTCTTGGTTTTGTTGAGCCGATTGCGACGACGGCAGGTGCGCTTCGTGCCGCAATAACACTCCTGCGTTTAACGTTGATGGACGATTCAGGTGCGCTCGAGACCGTTGGGTTGTGAGGAAATCTTTTCCTTTTTTTTCACCGTTTTTTTTATTTTTGGTGACATTCCTTTTGATTTGCCAGGCGCGAGGGGGAGCTGAGTGGTGGCGGTGGTGGTGTTTTCTTTTTTTGCTGCCTGTGCCGTTGTTGCCACTCTTTTGCTTTTCGCCTTTTTCTTTTCCATTTTCTCTTCTCTTCTCTTCTCTGTTTTTCTTCTTTTTTTTTTTGTTTTGTTGTTGCTTCTGCTGGTGTCTTCTTTTTCCTTCCGGTGGGTGATACGGAACCAATTTTATTAAAGGGCGACCCCGCCAGCGGTGGGGGGGCGAAAGGCAACACGCACACGGGACAGAAGGCTGACTGAAAGGGAGGGGCCGTAAGAAAAGGAGAGAGGGGAAGCAAGCGAACAAACATATATCTATATATATACATACATATATAACAAGAGGAGACGTTGTCGCCAATAAGAAGAAGAAGTTCTTGTGCCGCTGCGGAGGAGGAAGGAGACTGGCCCATCACCAGGCGGGGGGTGGGGGGGAGCGAGCGGGACTTCGTATGGAGGGGTACGAAACATTAGGCATTCTTGGAGAGGGCACGTACGGTGTCGTCGTTAAGGCACGTCATCGCGCCACCGGCCGAATTGTTGCCATTAAAAAGTACAAGCAGGCGGAGGATGACAATCATGTGCGCAAGACGTCGCTGCGTGAGGTGCGGGTGCTGAAGCAACTACGCCACCCCAATGTTATCTCCTTGTTGGATGTGTTTCGCCGTGACGGTAAGTTTTTCTTGTATTTGAGTATGTGGAGAACACCATCCTGCAGCTTATTGAGGAGAAACGGCACGGTTTGCCCCCGGATGAAGTGCGTCGTTAAACCTATCAGCTGCTGAATG